CGGGGCTGCTCTCTGCCCCCGGGGCTGAGGGGAGCGAAAGGCCCTACCCGCACCGCAGCTGTCGGAGCAAGTGCTGAAGGTCGGGGCGTTTCCTCATTTTAATGGCGAAAATGGCTGCCGGTGCGCAGCGCCGAGCGGGAGATGGGTGCGGGAGCGGCGCTGCTGGCGAAACCCAGCCGGTAACATCGGGCTGAAGCGTGGCTGAACCCCAGCCTTCCCCTCGGCGCCGAACGGGAAGGAGCGAAGCAGGGGTAACGCAGCCGTCCTGCTGCCAGGGAGGTGCGTGAGCTGGGGGAGAGCCTAGGAGGTGGCGGGGTTGGAAGGTCGCCTCCCAAAAGGCCTTGTCTCGTTAATTAAACAAAGCTAATCGCGTCCCTTCTGCACGCGGAGGGTGCCTCCACCCCTGCTCCACAGCTGTGGCACTGCAGGCAGCTGAAGGACCAGAGAGAAAGCAATTACAGCAATAGCGAACAGATCCAGCAGTGCCCTGCCACGGGCTCCTTACAGCCCGTGATTTACAACTGAATCAGATTTAATGTAGACTTTGAGTTAATTAAGCATAGGCCAGAGTTAAAAAAAACAAACAAAGAAAATCCCACAAAACCCAAAACTTCTAGTAAGTTTAGTAATGCTTCCAAAAACTCATGCTTATGTAAAAAAACTAATCACGTTTTATATTTTTGTTATTCATTCCCATTCTTCATTAATAACTTGACACGCCGGCAGCGTGGATGTGGTGACTGACACAGACTGCACTCCCAACGCTGCACCTCCATGGTAGCTTCTTGCGTTGTCTCCAGGTAACCACTTGAAAAGGAGGTTACTGAGTTATAATTAAGGACAGTCTTAAAATACTAGCTGTGTATTTCAATGTACTTTTCAAATTAAATCCACTCTATCAAAAATAAACACAACTCTTAACATAGTATTTCGTATCATCAATATATTATCAACTGTTGAAAAAAAGTCCTACTATGGCACATGGAAAGAGTTGCTTATTAAAGCAATGGGATGAATAAGAAAGTTAAAAACGTACATTTGAGAAAACATATTCAGATAATTATTGTGAAAATAAGATTGCACAAACAATATTTTACATTGAGTACAACATTGTATGTTTTTTGCGTTTATGGGAAATATAGTTAAGATTAAAAATATATACTTCAAACTTCTTTACATCTGGATGAAAGTTAAAACTCTTGAACTATTGAACATTTGCAGATTAGGAGAGTCAGAACTATTACATTTCCATGATTGTAAGTGCAGAAGAAAACGGGGGCAGATTACTTGTATCCTAATCAGTACATTATTGCATTGTCCATAACGACCATTTTTGTAAGCTCCACACGTCCAATTTAGTGCTGTCCTCCTGGTGTTTAGCATAGACCCATACGAAATTCCCCAGCTGAGTTTTAACCTTCCCCTTTGAAGCCCAGAACCCACAAGACGCTTATGCAAGCCTATACGCAAGTTCTTTTGCAGTAGCAAGAGCCTCAAGAACTTTACAAGTGGTGTACCTTTGCTTTTGCCACAGCTGCCATTAACAAGAGTTTCTGCAGTGGCAGGCTGCTGGAACTTCAGTGCCTCAAAGCACAATTGTTTCAGAGGATAGTTTATTCACTTGGGGGTTTTTTGGTTTTGTTTTGGGGTTTTTTTGTTTTGTTTTTTTTTTTAATCTAGCTGGCATGAAACTTTAAATGGTTCTTTTTCTGTCTTCCATGCCATTGGATGTCCAGTGAAAGTAAGGCTTTTGAGAAACAGCAGCAGCTTCACAGATTTCAGATCTACTCAACTTTTCCTGAGACCTGACTGCAGTAGCAACCATAAAGAAACCAAAAAGTATATATAGTAATGCCAAGAAAATGGTCTCATTTGGCTCTACTACAAACATAGCAGGTTCTGAGGAATACTGTCCCTTGCGTGCATTTATTGCATGATGTGCAACAATCCAAGTATTCATATAAGTATAAAGAAGAGGTTATTTGAAATTCAATCATTGCAAAAGCCTTGTTCACCTGACGTGTTAGCTCGTTCTGCCTAGCAGCACAGCTTTCTGTAAAGAAAAGGTAACATATGAGGGCTGCTAGCTACTAGTTTCTAGATCATGGTTACTCCAGTTCTGTGTCATGAAACAGAGTAACACAGGACTAAGCTTAGACTGATTTCAGAGCCCTACAGTCCTGCTGTTGACCTTTGCAAAACTTTTAAGCAATATTATTTCTATACCTAGATTCCTTAAAAAAAAAAAAAAAAGTTTGACCCACCGAGCTAAGCAAAAAACATAAAAGAACAGGGGGAAAAAAGAAACTCTGAAAAAAAAAAAAGTTTGACCCACCGAGCTAAGCTTAAAACATACAAGAACAGGTGGAAAAATGAAACTCTGACAAAATACCAGAAGTCAAGAATGGCTTTCCAGGTGTTAGAGGTTTTTTTAAAAAACACATCTGAGCCCAAGACAACACCATAATTGTATGTGTTGCTCTGCGTTACAGTGGTCTTCAAACGGAACCACAGTCCCAGTGTCGCTTTCTCTGTTCGAGGAGCGTTTCCCAGCTGCTCTCACAAGCGGGCTGTAAGACAGCACTGGACACGGACGGCTGGACGTGGTTCCTGAGGTTCGGCTTCTCGCTCCGCGTGATCGTGCACTTCATCGCTCTATGATCCAGTGTGGCCTCATAACCAGAGAGACGTTCCTCTTAGTCAGCGGAGGAGAGGCATGCATCGCGTTGTTGGACAGGTAGACTGCCTCCCTCGAGGCGTGCAGCCAGCTTCGCTTCCTTTTTAGATTCCCTACAAATGCTCTAAGATACAAAAACTCCATTCTCAGGAAGTTTTCCCTGGTCGAGTCTCTGGAAGCTACTGTTATCCTGACCAGCTGGTCCAACACCTTATTCTTCTTGCAGCTGGATAACTCTTTGAGGTTGATAGGCTTTGACCGTGCATAAAGAATCCGAAATTCCAGGTCAAAGTGTGCAACTGCGGGGCCTGACAGGATCAAAATGTTGCTGCTGTTCAGCTTCCCATCTGTCCACGTAAAACTAGCAAAGGAAGAATGAGAAAATTCTGAGTTAATTCAAAATAAATAGTAAACAAAGCATCCACTGAAAATTCTCTTTCATCACATTTAGTTAAATTGTTCTCAGAATCCAAATGGTGAGCAGTGTGCTCTTTTTAGGACAAGTGTTGCACATAAACTCTGGTAAGGAAAGCAGTTTACAATATGGCCATTTTTCCTTTCCATGTAAAGAAATCACGTTAAGGAACAGAAAGAAATTGGCACTTGCCTGTAGGAGCCTGTTGTCACTCTAATGCCATCAATTAACATGAACTTTTCTCGGACTTTTCCAATAATTTTGGCCCCCGACCTTGTGCAGTATGTGTTTCCAGTGAGAGTTCGAATTCTCATCAACTGTTAAAGATACAGCAAGCGTCATATGGATTTCAAAGTGAAATGATTGTGTTTAAAGGAGTAACACACAGCAATAACAATCACTGAGGAACTAGCGAAGGTTGCTGTGCAGTGGCATAAGGTTCACCCTCTAGAAACCAAATTATTATTTTGTCTTGTTTCAGTAGGCAAAGAGGTGGCGTTAAGGGGCAGAGTCATAAACTGATTGTGAGAATGCGATTGTAAAAACTCCTGCTGCTTAATCTTGGAGTGACCTGAACTCCTCAGACTCCTGAGAACCTGCTTCTCCATCGGCCTTCAAAGTCTCAGCAAGCCTGAGCAAGCCCAGTCATGCTTTAGGAACTGGACATTCCTCCTGCATTTCATTGAATATTCAATTGGTATTTGTGCTCAGAAAGCACCTGTAACATCCACTTACAAAGATTTCCATTTTTCTGTTAATTGCCACCTTAGGCAAGAATGGTTAAATCTTCCAAGAAAGAGCTAGAGCAATATAAATCCCATTTTAAGTTGTGGCAGCAGACATAATAGTTTCTTCTTTTAATGGCTCAAAGATTTCAGTCATAAGAGGATCAGCTCTCTGTCCCCATAAATATGACAAGGCTCACCTTTTCCTGTTCAAGGTCAACTCCCAGGTCCTTGCACATTTTCAGAAAGTGGGAAAAGGAAGACTGATCTAGAAGGATATATGCTTTAACTTGCCGCTGGCTACACGCTTCCAAGAGGTCTTTGAAGATATCAGTGTCTGTGAAGGAATCCATGACCAGGGCAATCATCTGCAACAAGTGTCAGAAGAAATCATTAGGCTGTTTCCACAGCATCCCAAGGGAGATGGTACAGGAGGAATTTCACTTCCAAATTAAATATTCCCCCCCCCCTTTTTTTTTCTCCTGGTGGTCACAGAACATGGCACAGTCTTCCATGATATGGTATATTCTTCTGTTGTTCACAGGACTGCTGAAACATTTAACAGCCATATAAGAAAAAGAGTAGAGAAAGGAAAAAATAACTCTGATAAGAAGAAAGTTCTGTGAAGAGACTGGTATTTTGGTAAAGGTGATTACCGAGTGCAGCACTGAGAGACATCGCCCCTTTGCTATGATCACTTCTACAGGTCCCTGTGTAGTTACATAGGAAAAATACATTGGATTTATGGACAGAAATTGTTGTTAAAGATTATTTGCCCCAATTTTGTTGTCACTTGACTGATTTTGAGCAGATAACATCTTTTACGCGTTTTATTACCGCATTGTGGAATTTAATTTTTTACTACAATTTCAGCAGCAGACATGGAAGCTTCTTGTGCTAGGACCTGTATCTTTTTTGGTTCATTGACTATGAACAACCTAGCCTGAAAGTCTATTGTGGAAAGACACCTATTCTCTATTTAGAAATCAGAGTTCTTCACTAATTAGCAGCGATGATAACTGCTGCATCTGTTCAGTAGCACGTTGCTCATGGTTTTTAATTAAGGTTGTACTAAAGCCTTCCCTTTCTACTACATAAGGTCACCTTCAAGAGAAAACTACAGAAACCTTAGCACTTTCTCGTTTCCCCCCACCTCCAGAGCGGTGCAGAGACCTACGGAGGCAGAGGGAGACTTGACACCTCTCCAAGAACCTGAGCAAAGCGACTAAAAGAGTATTTTGCAAGAGGAAAGGAAAGACACTTTGCTGTCAGTTTTCTTCAGCTACGTCAGTAACTTCTGGCATCACAGGAGCACCGAGTTGATCGTGGAGATGCTGAGAATATCTCAGAAGAACCAGAAGAGTGGCAAAATAAATGCATTGCTTTGGATTCCTGCCTCACCCCGAGACATGGCAAAAACAGGGGTCCAGTTCTGGGTTAGACAAACGTGGTCCCCGATTCCTAGGCAAGAGAGATTTTTTTCTGAGAACAGTTGTCTTTTCCTCAAAAGCACTGCCTGAAGGAGAAAGGTGAGCTTATTTTCCCGGGCTCCGCTGCGGCAGCGGGGACTCGGGCTGCCCAGGAGCGCGGGGATGGGCGCGCTGCGGCCGCTTCGCTCGCAGGTGCCACCGGGCGAGCTGAGCCAGGCCCGCACCGGCAGGCCGGGCGGTCCTCCGCCGGGGGGGGGG